TCGAACTGCTGTTGCTCAGAGCTCGCACTCTTGAGCAAGCTCTTAACCAACTGAGCCACTCGGCCGGCCCTACTTTCTGTATAGGCATAACCACATTGTAATTCCTGTTAATTCAAGGCCATATATTGAAAGGAATTAAATGCTCAGGATGGAATAGGTGTACTTGGAAATTCAAAGCAAAATTTGGTGCTATAGTTTTTTGCATAATGACAACAAGGGCCAAATTAATAAAAAATAATCAATATTACTTTGGATTATTAAGTATGTGTTTTTTTATTATCTTAATGCTCAAAAATAACATCACTGATTAATAGTAAAAACAGTAAAAGTAATAACAGCTGATATTAACTGAACATGCGCCATGTACCAGTTCAACTAAATTCATATTTTGAAAGGGAACACAGAGTTTTAAAACTGTAACTAGCTTACAATTCAATTCCTTATAATTCAGTTCTCATGAATACACCATTTAACAGGAAGCTATATGAAATATTTTTCCTACCCTACCCTAAAACATAGCTTTAGGTTAAACTTTATATATCTAATATTCTAAGCTTGCTAATCCATATCTTTCATAATTTCTCCAAGTATGTGTTGTTTTTAAGGACAAAATCAAGAGCATATTAATGAAAATAGTACTTACAATACTGTTCTTGTACTCTTTCTTATTACTCTGAATTGAAGGACTGGATTATCTACAAATTCAATGTCATATTTGGGGTCAACAGACAAATTTGAAGAAGGTTCAATACTGAGTGGAACTTCAAATCGTTTATTATTAGGATCATAAACCTAAAACAAGAGAGAATAAAGGGTATATTAAATTTTTTTAATGATCTAATTACAATGTTACCAATAAGTGAAATGGGAAATTATAGTTACCTCCAGAATAAGATATATTATGAGGTACTTAATCAAATAATGTTATGACATTTAAAACTTTCCATTAATAAGTTTTGTGTTCATGGAAAATACAGACCATTAGGTTATACTCACCTTAAATCGGAGCCGATCCTCAGTATGAAATTCTATATCCATTACAACTGGGGAAATATCATTTCCAAAGAGAGATATAGTGTCACGTTTGTTTAATGTTAACCTATAAGATAAGCCAATTTTATTAGCCCAAGTGAAGCATATTTATTTTTACAAATGAGTGAAATTCCTCAGATAAAAAGAATACTGATAAACAGGGAGATAAACCACTTACATTAACAAGAAAAATAAAAATTAAGTAATATTTTACTAAGAGCAGAAACACTGAGGAGTAGATCTGAAACACTGGAATGGTAATAAGGAAAATCAACTAATTTCCTTCCCAGTACATCTCTAAGAATAGGAAGAACTGCAACAACAAAATTGTTAAAAAAGTGGATACCTGATTTACTAATAATTGATATTGATACAATCACCCTGTAGAAGGAAATAATAAACCCAAGTTTTTCCTCTAGTCATCTTCAGTCAGGATGGCTGTCAATGACTTCTAAAAACCAGGCTTAGAAGTAATGCATGGGCAGTCACGTGCCCAAAGCTCTGGGCACAGCCCCTCTCCTCCCAGTTGTGTCTGCCCTCCTCACTCTGCATAAATACGTGTCAAACTACCATACACATCCCAACTACTAGAATCCCCAATTCAATGCCACCATCACCCACTCCAACCAAGCCCTCCAATGTTAGAGTCAGGGAGAGAAGCCCATTTCCTCAGGTAAATTTTTGGTTAGGTAAGCATTTTTGGTCTAGCATGGCGAAGCACCACTTATTGACATTGTTTTGCTGTGGAACATCCTTTCCTGATTTAAAAAGAATCCATTAATATTTGAGGAGCTGTATAAATTCAGCAAGCAAAGTTACCTGATGGTCAAACTGAGACATAATGAGATCCCCCAGGCCCAGAGTTAAGTAAAGGGCTAGGCACACATTACATATAAGCCAAAAGGCAGCCCAGACGGTGAAGACACTGACATTTGAAATCTTCATGAATTGCCCTGAGTACTTCTGCTTCTCTTGCAATTCCTCTTTCTGTATAATCTCAGTTCCCAGTCAGAATTTAATATAGTTATAATTTAATGTATCTGATTTTTATTTATTTTATTCAATTTTATGGTTCACTGCTCTTACTCATCCTGAGTTCTTTTTATTTTAATTTCAGATTTTAATCTGTATTCAAAACATTTCCCATGATGGTCTCTGTTAAAATCTGTAAAAACTTAAGCCAATGGCAAATTTAGATTAAGAGAAAATGGCATATAATGTAAGTTAGCTCAATCAAGTTTTATTTTTGAGCCATAAAATAGGCTGGTGTATTTGAAGCAAAGCACCTTCAAGGTTCAGAAGCAATAAAAACAAACTGTAATGATTTTTTATTTCCTTTTCTTCAATTTGGAACTCATTATATTTCTGAAACTACCTTGTCCCAACCCTGACATAAATCAGTGCCTCTCAGCCCAGACCTCACCCTTCTGTTTCTAGCTAGTGTCTCGATAGTCATTTCTTGTCTTTGTCTTTAAAGAAGATGGTACTCGAAATCCCTACTCCTAAGTATCATCATTACATTTCATATCACTGCCTGGTAAGAAACGTAAACGGAAAACACATTTTGACACAATTTTCAAGCTCTGGTCTTGCAATGTGAAAGGGAAATAGCTCATAAATTCCAAACAGAAATTGAAGTAAAGTCAACTTTCACAGCACTTTGCTGATCCCCAAGTAAGTAAATGCCATAATTTTACACATTCCATACATTTCCCAGAAAAGTATCTTCAAACACAAGATCTAGTATCTAAAAATTGGCACAAGAATAAAATTTTTTAAAGTGAGACTTGACCCATAAAATCTAGCTTTTCTCTTGAGACTCTTGACTAAAGGAAACTGATTCTTCCTTTTTTTCCTTAACAACATTAAACATCATCATTTGTGATTGAGTTATTTTTGTACTTAGTAGAGTATGTACTCTGATGGTGCTAAAGTATAATTTCTGATGTTCTGAAATAGTTGTTGTTCAGGGCAATTTTTCATCCTAAGTTTCTCTATCATTTCACAGAAAATTAAGTGCTGTATCATGCTTCCCAAAAAGATATACAACACACAGAGAAAAGGCTTCTTTTTAAATGATTTATATGATAGCATAAAAGACGAGAGTTTTATTTTAGCCCAACTTGTTTGTAACGAATCATTCCGGCACACAAAATAACGGGTCTTTCTGGCTCTGTGGCAGGGACCACACAACTGACTGAGAAACAAGAAAGACACTTGGAGCCTACTCTTCAACAGGGGAGTTGTGACAGTGATTTAGAAGTAAAAATGAGTAGGAAGCAAAAGGCCATGTATTTTAGGCTTTTTGATTCACCGTGAAGGCTCCGAGCTCATAGGGTACAGCAAATAAAAATAGAATGTAATCTTTGAGGTGATATGTGTACCAAACAAACCCATGAGGCCAGATCAGAAATTTTAGATGGTAGAAGTGGTTAGTAAAAGCTCTAGGAAATATATACCTCCATCCTAGAGCTGTTTTCTGAGGTGAGCCTTTCATAATGTAGCCATATGGGCCATCAGCTGGGTAGAAGCACCAGGGAACATTGGCAACAGTTGTGGAACACCAGAAACAGCCTTTAGCTTCACAGATCTCTTGAGTAGCATCTGGTTGAGGATGGCAATCAATGCGCTTCTGAATGGGAAATCTCGCGGAACAAGTAGCCTCTTCTTTGGAGGTGTAGAAGCAAAACGGAGCGGTGGTGTTCTCAGAGGCACACCACTGACAGCCGCGGCTTATACACTCAGCTTCATTTGCCCCGGACTCTGGGTGACAGTCAATGCGTTGGGAGTCAAGTACTATAGAACATAAATCGACCTTCTCAAAACACCAAGGAATGTCTGGGGTTTTCAGCGGAGACCAGCAGCAGTTCCTGGCCAGGCAACTGGCTTCGGAAGCCCCAGGATCAGGATGGCAGTCTTTACGAAGCTGAGGGGCTAGCGATGCTAAGCATGAGCTTGATCTAACAGGCTGGACTAGAGCTGAACCGAGAAGGAAAACAGGGCAACGTCAATGCAAAGATATCTAGAAAACATAATTATTATCAAGACACTTTGGTAGAACTCAATCTTGCAGTGCTAAGATTATGAGTGGAATAGTTGGTAGAGATCAAACAGTATTATAAATTTGTCAGCCTAGGTAAAACAAAGCACAGCAAGAAACCTGTCCCTTAAAAATGCAGCACTAACATTTTATTTTATCACTCCTAATATTCTCAGCATGCACATTCTTTATTATCTCCACAATCTGAGGTGTCTACCTATTATCATCTAAATGTTACCAAATGGATTTCACAAAAGTCAATATAATTGCCTTTTCTGTTTGCTATACTTTCCTTCATTTATAATTTATACACTGGACAGCAGTTGTCAGTCCTCTAATGATAATAGTTCACAAATGTCTATAGGTGTTTCCTCTAAACTAACTAGATATTGTGTGTGTTACATGCTATTGCATCAAATCCAACTCCTGGAGACCCTATGAATAAGTGGTGTCCACACTATCCTGTCCTCAGCAGCCCTGCTCAGCTCCTGTGGACTCATGCCTATGGCTGCTTTGATTTTTGTATCACATTGTAGTCATGTATATATCTGATAATATTGTTTAAATTCACCATAATTTTGAAATTATGATAGTTTTGAGACCAGATGCTGGATCTTGATTTTTAATGCAATAATAAAGAAGCATATATATTAGTGTATCACAAATTAAAAAAAAAACATTTTGATAAGGATTTTCCCATATAATTAGTTTCATCTGCAATTCTATATATTTTATGAATTTAAAAACTCTTCTAAGAAAGGGGTGCTATGCTTCACCAGGCTACCCATAGACACACACACACACACACACACACACACACACACACACTCAGATACACAAATGTTCAGGACCCTCCAAAACTATGTGTACCCACCTACCACCAGGAAAAACATCACATATGACCCAGAGCGTGGAAATCACAGTTAAACCGCTGCTCTATATCACATGATTGTCCTTACAATTTTCCACAATACCAAATGCCAACTCCAACTAATAGAAAACACCATTATCTCACTTTTGTTTCTCAAAATTCAAACCAATCAAATATCATTAAATGAACTACATGCATAGGTATCTAGGCATAATCCTTGATTATCCTCAATAGTGTGTCAGATTATTCTGTATTCGAGTTATTATTTTATTTATCTTTCTGTCCATCTGAGCTCCCCGTTCAATTTCTCCTGGTTGTCACTGAAGGTCTCATCACTGCCCCTATGCCCTTTCAGTGTTCTCCTTCCTTATTCTGCTCAGACTGTAGGGATTTGCTCCTGGGGTCACCCGTGGCTCTGGGACCTTAGAAGCTGTATAACTTTGGATAGAAACTTTTTAAGCTTTAGCTCCATCAGATTTAAAATAGCAATGATAAAGCTTAGTTTATAAGTTCTGAGCTAACTCCCTCTTCTGAGTACTAAGCTAATGTAGAATATATAGTATGTAGATATCATGGTTAAGGTCTTAGACTGACCCTAGAGCCACAGTATCCAGGTTCAAATCTCAGTTCTTACACTTACTAGCTATGTGGGACAAAATACTTTACCTCACTATGCTGCAGTGTTTTCATCTGCAGAACAGGAATAGAAATGGAACCTGCCTCATGGGATTTATACCTGTAAAGATTTTTAATCAGCAACTAGCACATCCCTCTTGGTATGCTAGCTGTTGTCATATATATATATATATATATATATACATATATATATATATGTCATATATACACACATATATACATATACATGTATATACATGTATATATGTGTGTATCTACATATGCATATATGTATATGTATATGTATATGTATACATATATGTATATATGTATATATGTGTGTGTATATGACATATATATATGACAACATCTAGCATATGTATATATATATATATATATATACTCAGCACAGTAAACTGGCATACACTAAATATACTTGCTATTATTAATAAATAGCAAATTCATCAAGGACAATAGCTATTAAACATTAAAAATTAGATAAGTTGATTTACCATGTTTGTTTTTTGTATTAAGTTTTGATTCAAAATTTGTTCAAGGAAAAATTATCAAAAGGTAGGTTACTCAGCTGTATACGATGTCAGAGGGTTAATAGATTGGGGGAGGGGGTTATCACTTTGTGAGGGGTGTAAATGTCTATCACATTGTTTTGTACACCTGAAACTAATTAAAATATAAAAATAAAAAATAATTAACTTGTACCACACACACACACACACACACACACACACACACACACACAAAAGTACGTTACTTACCTGTCAGAATCATGGAACAAAAACACAGGAGTCTTAAGGCCTTCATGGTCCCAGAAAAGTGACTCTTGTTCATGGTATGTGAGGTATTAATACCCGAAAATTTGAATAAATTATTCTGGCCTTGAATTTTTCAACAGAGCAATGAGGCCAAGAACAACTTCTTGAAAGTCTTCCCACAAGATTACTAGTGGCTGGCACTGCTGTGTAATGAAAAGACATGAGATTAGCATACAGGTGGCCTGGAGTTTAATCTGGCTGTCAGTTGGCTGTGGTAGCTGGATATGTCATTTAACATCTATGAGTCAAGGTTTCTTCATCTGTAAAATGGATATAATACCTGCCCTGCCTATTTCATGGTGTCAGAATGAAGATCACTGTTATAACATTACCATTGGAAGTCAAAAGTCAGTGAAAAGTCAGCTTCTCATGTCACATGACCAAGGTCCCTTGACCTACTAAAGGAATTAAGAACTAGGTAACAGAAGTTGTAAATGAATTATACTTTTTTCTTTCCAAACTTTAAAATTTTCAGTTCTATAGGTATTTTAAGCTATTCTTAGTTGACCTAAAGTTTCAATCACTTTACTTTGGGGATCAGCATAATAAGTTTGGTAGAAAGAGATTATTAGACGACAAGTCAGGTTAACTAAAGTCACAAGGTTTTATAATCCATTAATATCCAACAATGAATAGCCATCCTACATGTAAGCAAATGGGCAGCTCCATATGTGGTGAAATTTAGGAAGGTATCTTCTAATGTTCTTTTCATTCACAAACAAAACAAAGTATGAGAATTTGTCTCCCAACCAGAAAGTTTCAGCTTTAGGGCTATAAGAGCTAGGAGTTATACTTTTATTGGAAATAATTTTAAATTAAGAAAGTAGAAAGGACAAGTTTATTTAACTGTTTCCTAAGTGGAAAGGAAGGATTCTGGGAAGAGGAGACAAAAGACCTTCCACTAGTCCATCTATGCTAATTGGTTGGATTAATTAATTATCAGTAGAGGAAGCCAGAGATCTAGTAACAAGAGAGAGGAAAGGGGGGCAGTTGACATCAAACAGTGAAAAACACAAGAGAGGGAAGAAAGGAAAGATAAACTTGTCTCTCACACTTTTACCAAAGAATCTCTTAATCACCTTAAGTGGGGAAACCGAATCTGTTGGCAAATATAGCGATACTTCCACTGGTAGCTTCCCAAGAACTCAGTTCCTTGTAATAAACCCTGCCTTGGACACAGTGGAATTCAGAATGCAATAAAGGAGTTCAGAATCCCAGCAACCAAACAGCAGAGCCCAGATCTGAACCAAAGCTTACCCACACCTCCATGATTCAAACAGGGCTGCTGAAGTGTGGGCAGAAAGAAATCTGCACATTCACTACGTCACTTGTCCTGTCTTTCTTTTTCCAATTCCAGCTAACAAGAAAAAACCTTGAGAACCCTGAGTCCTTGGTTACAAAGATAGGCATGTATAACCTAAGTCCTTCTGTAAGACGAGGACATACAAGATAGCTTCGCTAAAGGAATTAAGGTCTCACAGGTTATAGACATTTAAAAATCCAGGGAGCACAGCATTCGCATTTATCATCCAGTTGAATGTTTTTGTTGCTAAACTAATTATATTTATTTTTTCATCTGAGATAGACGCAACCAGGATCTCTGAGAACAGTGGTCCATATCTTTATCATAAACCTTCAACTTTGAAGTACTGCTTTTCACATGGTTAATGTAAAACCTCCACATAAATAGTACAAATAAAATAAAGGAGCTTGAATTTTAGCCACTTTTAAATTCTATAAATTAGGAAATGCAATAAACTACATGAAAAGATGTTCTACGCATTTAAGAACTTATTAAGCCCTTATATATCTGTGGCTCATTTATAAATCAGAAAGTGGAAAATTTGCCTTTAAAGGGAAAATGAAATAGAATATTTAAAATTCAGGCAGAATGGGAAAAATCTTGGAAGACAATCTTAGACTTGATTTATTCTCAGTGTGACAAAGTAGGAAATGGCTAGTAACATTTCCTATATATTTATTCACAGAACCTATTTTAGTAAAATTTTAAATCTGTGTTAGGGTCAAATTCAGTGTATTTTCAAAAGAGAATTTTTGAGATCTGCATTATTGGCTGAAATTCAGAAATATGCCTAGAAATATTACTTGCATATACGGTATGACATATGTATAAATTTTAATTAAGTTTTAAAAAACAAATTAAAACAATGGTGACATGCAATAAGAGTATTTGTTCAAATTTCCTGTCATAAACTTAAAATTACCATAAGTATTTAGCTCATATGATATTTTCTGTTGAATAGCAAAGTTGTATGTGCACATATATTAATTTTCCTAAAATTAATTTTCCTTAAAATGCCAAGGTCTATTTACATATTTTAATTATTTCTATTTGCTTAATACATTCAAAGGAAGGAACAGATGTGTAAAAAGAAAGATATGCTATGATCAACCTTAATTAGTTGTAATAACCTAATCCCTTAGGATAAAGAATTGCACGGCTTTGCAAGCTTCATAGACTGTTTTAAATCACTGTTTATAATATGAAAGCCTAAGGACAAATCAGATCCCTCCCCAAAAGTTTATTAAAATAATTTATCTTAAAATTCCCATTAAAATAAAAATTTATTATCTTAAATATTTTCTGTGGTGCATATTTACTAACTTGATTATAATCACCCCTTTCTGACAATCTCATCACAGATTATGCTTATTATACAAAACATCATATTTTTTATACAAGCATGAATTGCTATTTTAAGCTTATATAAACAGAAATCCCAATACACTGCATCTCTCATTTTTCACATTGACATATAGATCAGAAACATCCATCAATTTCTAGGGTTCGGAATATCTAAGTAGGAAAACCTGCTTGTGAGAGCATTCTAGATATTAAATCTAAATAAGAAAGATATTGAAGTGGAATATTCAGGAGATAGTCTAATGAGGAAAATAGCTGAATCTCATAATACAACAGATATGGGGAAAGAAGGTCAGAACTAAATTAGTAATCGCCTCAGACTTTATCCTTAATATACTAGTGATTTGTTGATGGAGGAATGAGAAAGCAGACAGATGACAGCATTTTATTTATCATGTTCATGTAAATAATATAATCAATCTGGGATACATGTGCATGTGTACACACATTTCTCTTTTTCCAGACCCTTACACAACTCAAAAATCCTCCTCAGAACATGTATATAGCCTCCATTATGGATATTTCCTAAGGGTACGGTTTCCGCTCAGAAAACAAATTTCTGAAAAGTACATTTATTCATTCAATAAATATTTACTAAATGCCTACTATGGGCCAGATGCTGCCTAGATACTGGGGACACAATCCTGTCCTCACAGACCACACAGCGTGATAAGTGCCATGAATGGGGGCCTCCCAGGAGCAGTGGAAGGGCAGAAGAGACCACCCCACGAACAAGGCACAGCTCTGTACAGTAACATTCAGGAGTTTAACTGGGTTATAGTAACGAGATATCAATATATTTCTAGACAGACTCGTTCATTTCATACTTAGTGTTTTCCTATTATCTTTGCCTCTAAGTTATAACAGTAGGCTAAAGCTGTTAATAGTCTCTGTATGTTGGTTGAATTCTCTTCAAATGAGTCAATTATTTTATCAACTAAAAGGAAATGACATTGACTGAAAGTAAACTTTTTTTGTCAATTCCTAGCTGAAAAGGGAACTATATCACTAACATGGATTACAAATTCCATTCCAAATTTCCAAGAGGGGGAAAAGACAGAGGAATAGATATAATGGAACATGCTATAAGAAGGTACAAATGCATATCCTAACACAGCTCACATCTGTAAGGAGGTACTATTGAGCAGAAGAGACAAACCACATCTAACTTTTAGTAAAAAATCTACTGCAATGTTTACTCTGTTCTTTTATTTTTTTAATACTTTTTCTAAAGTATATCCTGTCAATCACTCTCATACTTTACAAGGAAACAGCATAACCAGAAGGAAAGTACACGGATCTGAGAGACGTTAATAAGCACAAGTTCACCAGCAGCGAAACTTTCAGCACTTACATTCTCCCCACCCCTCACCCTCACCCCCCAGCTCCCCAGTGCTACGTAGTGATGGGGGATGAGCTGCTCTTCCTGCAGAAGGCTTGGGAAACCTGTGCTTTTCATAAACCCCATCTGCTGAGAGCAGCATAAAGACAAAAGTATCAGCTTAACATTTCACTTAACTTAAATATTTTACTGGGAAAAAAAATCCAACTGGGAAGTTACTTAAGCTCCTCCTGATCCGCACTCACACCTTAATATATGGGAGTGTTTATGAAAGAGGGAGGGAGGGAAGGAGGGTAAGGGAAGAAAGAGGGAGAAAGGGAGGGAGGGAAAGAGGAAGGAAGGAAGGAAGGAAGGAAGGAAGGAAGGAAGGAAGGAAGGAAGGAAGGAAGNGAAGGAAGGAAGGAAGGAAGGAAGGAAGGAAGGAAGGAAGGAAGGAAGGAAGGAAGGAAGGAAGGAAGGAAAGCTCAATCTGTGAAATCACTACCAGGACTTAGACTTCATAGAACTGTCCTGCAAGGTCCAACTGACATGTTCTACTTCACTCTGCCAAACTTAGCAATATCCCTTTTAGTCCTATCTTTGAATATTATGTCTACCTTTCTCAGGCCAGTAATGAACCTTTTCTTCTACTCCCCAGGCAGATAAGAAGAATTAACTTTACTGAGCTTCGGTCAATCTTTAACCAACAACCCTGATATTCCCCTTTTCTGAGTCAAATCATTCACAGAATTCATATGGGGTCATTTCCCAAAGAAAACTATGTAACAGGGAGTCAAATGCTTTTTTAAGTCAAAAGGTATTTGGTGTATTTGGTGACACCAGGAATAAAAAGCTAGGTGAAAAGTATATGTATTTGGCAATATTCCTTATGCCAAAAACACCTTGCAGCTTACCCATCTTATCATCTAAATGTTTACAAACTGATGATGTAAATTTTTATTCATTTGAGAGGGAAGGTCACACCTGGGAAACCAAACAAATATTTACTTTCACCCTCAGGATAACTAATCCTAAAAATCAATCAGAACCATGAATAGTGTCTACTTATAAAATAGAGAGTTACTAATGTTCAAGTTAAAGTCTACTTGACTTCCCATTCATATCATAGTTATGTTTGATCATTAAAGATACATTTATTTTCCAATAGTGTCCCTCTAACCCTCCATTTCAGTCACTTACTCCTCCTGTGTCTACTCAAAGCCCCATCATGGAGACTTAAACGTCCCATCTTCTTTGAGGCAAACAACATTTCAGAACTTTCCTTCAATCACAATTCCATGTCCTGCTGCCCCAATCTTGGTAGTAAGAAACAGCCTAGGGGCTGGCTGGGTGGCACAGCTGATTACAGCATGTGCTCTTAACAACAAGGTTGCTAGTTCGATTCCCACATGGGATGGTGGGCTGTGCCCTGCATCCCCCCACCCCAATTAGATTGAAAGCAGCAACTGGACTTGGAGCTGAGCTGTGCCCTTCACAACTAAGACTGAAGGACAACAACTTGATTTGGAGCTGATGGGTCCTGGAAAAACACACTGTTCCCTTCCCCATTTCCCCAATAAAATCTTTAAAAAAAACACACAAAAACAGAAGCAGTCTGCTAAATGAATTCTAGCCAAATCATGAATGAGTCTGAATGTGTGTGTTATACCTCTCAACCATATTTCACCTTAAACCAAAAAAGTACTAGCTCCAAAGTGTAGCAACAATGACAGTCTGAAACACACCTCCCATTTACTCCAATACCATCCATTAAAAGTAGCTCATTTTTCCTCCTCAGTAAAGGGGCTGTAAAGAAATGCTTTCTTCTTTTTAATCACAATATTATTAGAGTAAAAACTAAAATTACCAAATATTCAACAGCTGGAGAATAGCTAAATATATTATGGTACATTAATATGAAAAACAATTTTGCTGTAAAATCATATTTGTGAACACTTCAAGATGGGAAATATTTATAATACATCTTTAGCAAAAAGCAGGGTGTGAAATATTTTCAACATCCCAAATTTGTGAATTCATGTGTATGATTTTCTGCGAATGCACATTTTTTGAAAATATAAATGTATTTCTAATTTCTAACCATAAAAAATAGAAATGAAGTCTTTTTTACCGAGAAAGTTACTTTGTTTTAGTATTACTTTTACAGCCTTTGGTTAGAAAGCCTAGAAGCCGTGTGAAAGCCAGTATGTATAAAGCACAATTGGGATAAATAAAAAATAAATCCTTTAAAAAAAAAAAAAGACTCGACAAAGGCTTTTATGTCAATGACCTTTGGCCA